CTTGCGAGTTGAGGAGGTTCGCAAAATGCTCAAAGGCGAAGCAGGCACATCTCCCAGCACATGTTGGATTGGGAACTCGGAGAATGTCTTCTCTTTCTGAGGGCAACTCCAGCCCATGAAATACAAATTGGCTCCACTACACTAACTAACGGCTACAAGGCAAATCGCGTGGTGCCGAAACAAACACTCAAACCAGCATTCAAGCCCACCTGAGCGTCGATGAGAATGTCTCTGCACAGCAGGAGGTGCTGCTACGAAAGCTGTGGGCAGCACCTGGCTTCTAGCTCAGGCTAAGCTAGGAGTTCGATTGGGAGCTCGATGAGCCCATGAGAGCCGTTGAGCAGTTCAGGCTGACGTCTTGATCCCAACATAGTCCAAAGCTCACAAAGCACACGCCTCCCGTGCTGACTTGCGACTACTCGCAAACTCTGACCCCTGGCTGGGCCCTGCACAAGGAGGAGCGTGGCAATCCTTGCACAAGAGCGAGCGCTGGTGCGGACACTGATGACACTTGCCGCGTAGACGAGGCATGAATAGAATTAAACTTAAGCGGGGCAGACACTTGACTTGTAGCACACAATCTACTCCGAAACTCAAAAAGCCCGACAGTTTACCAAAAAGAGGCGTCTGTCGAAACCCTACTCAACCGCTCTCAAGCTCGAATTTACAAAGCCTGTATGCAAAGCATCTGTAAGACGTTGCGCATCCGCATCTGAAACATAAGCCCTAAACATCCCCAAGCTCTGCACCGTGTCCGGACAAGAAGGGTTGGGCGGTGGCAACAAAAATCATGATGCGGATCTGGGTGGCGCTCTGTTTGGGGGCGGTTCCTGCCGACCACACTTATATGCGTCCGCGCTCAGCTCCACCCAAAATGCACCCCAAAAGCCTAACCAAAACCCTACCTCTGTAGGGGACGCCCACGCAATCGAGCGATCAGGGGGACCATGGCAGGCTCTGCTGGGCTGCAAGGCACGACAGTAATTCCAGGCCCCTTTGAGGGGCATGCCTCTGCATTTCCCAACGCTGAATCCCTGGACATGGATTTTTTGGACTCTGCTTCTGGAGCCTGGAAATTCCCTGGGTGGCGCTGGAGGCCAAGCAACAAAATAAGGCAAAGAAAGGTGGCCCAGACTGTCCGACAAGCGTTGACACGGGTATCCTTTGTCTTCTGGACGTCCCTATAGGCCCGCCATAGGCCCGCCCCTCAAAACCCCAGTTTTAATCTGGCGTCCGGATCGGGCTTGGGCCCAGACGTCCGAAATCTTACGTGATCCAAGCGACCAGAGCATTCAAGCGACCCAAGGTTGGTCAGGTCCGAAGTGTGTCCAGAGTCCCAACTGTCCCCAAGTGACCAGGGGTGTCCCAAGCGTTCCAAGCATCCCACAAGTCCGAACATTTATTCGGACAGGATTCTGGCGCTGAATACGTTCTGTGAAGAAGGCCCGTCAGCTCTAGAATGCCAGCAGCCTCTGCCCTTTCGTGGGCTCCTAACACTTCCGAGACGCGGAAAGGGAAAGGGGCGGCAACCGCTCGCCCACCTCGCAACACGCCCACAAACCCCAACCCCTGTGCAAGCCTTTCGAACTAGCAAATCCCAACTTGCTGTGCTGAGGCCCGATCCATGTGAGAAGAGAGCGCAGCAGGCCTGGTTTTGCAGCACAAAGTCTGCAAGTTTTCGGGTGCCCAGGCTTGTGGAATTGCCCGAGTTGTGACTTTGTAGGCATGCGTGTACCCCAAGGGCCGAACGTTCAATAGCAAATAGTTCGACGAAGGCCGTCGAACCAGTTGGGGGTTCGATAGGGTTCAACAACTCGATCAAAACATTTTGTGTGGTAAGATAAACGATGGATGAACCATCGATGAGGTTTATGCTTGGATGTTACAGCATGCACATACAAACGATGGACATAGAGGTATAACATGTGATTCTGTAGTTGTGATGCTCAAACTCCGTGATCTCCTACAACTAAGTGTTAACAAGGCTGCAACGTACATGTATATATTAGTAGTCTTGCTTCAAAAATAATATATATATATATATATATATACATATGTATATGTAAATGTATATGTCTATGTGTATATACGTGCGTGTGTATCACGCGGCCCCCCGCACGACAGACCATAGGGAGTGACCCAATATTTCTTGGGCTATATGTATGTGTACAAGCAGCATCTGTGGCAAACATGCTTTGCATGTAGGAGCCAATCTCAGCAGCTACAGTACTTGTTCTTGACAAATGGCCTGTAGTCTATGCTTTCACTAACTGGATGCATAGAACTTAGAGGAAGGTACTCTTGACACCCCACGTTAAAACGGTACATACCGTATCTATTGTAACGAACCTAGTTGGAGGAAAATCAGATTAGTTAGTTCTATAGTTCTATACCAGCACTGATTGTGGGAGTCACTGCTTTTTGCACATCTGTTGTCCCGGTAGCTGTCCTTCAGAATCCTCCCATATTTCGGTCATTCCAGCCATGTAGCTGCAATGTAGCTCTAAACTCAGACCAACGTTAACCAAATAATCCGAGTTCCAGTTGAGGTGAGGCTTCCAACATTCCTGAAATGGTAGAACTCTTTAAGGAACCAAATTGATCTCGAATCATGTTTACATTTTAAGCTTGGGGGGGAGTGACTATCTCATTCAAAAGGGCATGATCCTGCAAGTTTTATTCTGTTCGCCATGTAAATGAGACCCTTTTTGAATTTGCAAGCCAATGCTAGTGTGATTGAATGAGTATACCTAGCCCTGAATACACAATGAAAAAAGCTAGCCCTTGATGTTACTGGTGCTTTCTATGAAACTTGGGGTGGGGGACTTATATGCCTAAGAGTAGTTCCCTACAAGATGTAAATCGCATATGTCGTGCAGCCGCATATGCCATATGCGGCACGCACATATTGCATTTAGCCTCCCATGTTGATTTCTGTTTCTGTCCCTCTCTGGCAGTGAACCGTTCAAGGGCAAGGGTGACCCTCTCCCCCCCCCCCCACCCCCAAAAACTCAAAATTACCAATAACAAGTTAATCTTGGGGGGTCGACCGCCCCCCTGCTGGAGCGCAAAGTGAACCCCAGTCTCGCCATGCTGGCTTTCGTGATGAGACTAGCAAGATAAAAAAAAGTATATATATATATGTATGAATATAAATAAAAAACACATAAATAAATAAATAAATAAATAAATAATATATATATATATATGTGAACAATGTGACTAATTAATTGCAGAGCGAGAGAAAGAGCGAGAGCGAGAGTGGGAGCGGGGCGAGCAGGACCCGCACATCAACCAAGAACATTCCTCATGGGGTAAGGCCCTGGTCGGAAAATCTGCTCGAAAAATGCAAGGCCCGATCAGCAAAGACATGGGAACCGGATCGGAACACACAGTTGACCTGATCAGCAAACCAAGGGACCCTGATCACAAAACACCAAACGAAAAACCCTAAACGGCCCTCAACCTCTTCTTGATCAAGTACCCTGTGCTTTTTCTGATCCCCCCACCACCACCACCACCACCACCACCACCACCACCACCACCACCACCGGTTTGGGATCAAGTTTTCTGATATGTCGCTCCGTTGTATGGGATTCAATGATTCACAAAGCCTTGAATCCCAACAACCTTGAACGACCCAAACGACTCGACTCCGGCCTGGTCTCTTTACTTCACGAAGTCCCGCCATCTCCTTAGCAAAATGTCAGGATATGTGTGTGTGCGGCGCATATCTAGGATATGTTGCTCTCGCAGCCTGCTAGGAGCTTGTGAGCTGGGTTGGGGAAATCCAGCTGTCATTGGTCTGATGGTTGTTGAACTCTACACCCCATTTAATTAGATCCCTCACGACATCATTCTAACGGGCAACCTGACGGGCAACTGAGTTTTTTTCAGGTTTTGCTGCTACTGGCCACAGCTGCGCTATCGTGGAGCTTCCCATGCGATGTCTTTAGCCGCCGATTTGCAAGCACTCACATTGTTGGAATTGCAAGGTCGCAAGATGCGAAAAATCTCGCAAACTCATTGTAGCAGGTACCATGTCACAAAATTGCAAGCCAAGCGTAGACTGGAAGAAGTGTCATGCCAGCACTGCGCGCCCTCCCAAGTCGGAACTCAAAGTATACTCGTAGTGTCGTAGTATGCTTACCCTGGGCCGCGTGCACTGCACTCCAGCAACGCGGCATGAAGTCAAGCGGCATTAAGGCACTGGCTAGGCTGCCGTGCGCAACAGCTTGGCAACACCACCCGCGATGATCGAATTTATTTACGCTTCTTGGCTCTGGCTCATATTGACCCTGTGCGCAAGCTTAGGGGCTTGGGATCTCAGTCCCTGTAGTCGCCATGCGTGCTGGGAACGGAGGTGCTTCCATCTGCAGCCGCATCCACCATCTCGCCTTTCATGCCTCGCTGCCCTTTTCCCTCACGGCGGGTGGCAGGCTTTTTCTTGTGTCCCCGGTTAAGAGAATACCACCACGGGCAGGTCGGGTTCGAAGACAATCTTCAGCACCTCGCATTGTGTGGACAACGTCTCTACACTTGTCAAAGCTATGGCTTCACCTGAGTCAACCACGACAAGGTCAATCTGCCTGCTTGCGCGTAGTGACTCCCCGTGCCCTCGCCGGGCACTTGCACAAGATGGTCCGGGGTTACCCGAAGTTTGGCAGTCCCAGCCTGAAGATGGACGACTTGGGTTGTTTGGCACACCGCAGGCATGGTGGCCACCGTCAAGAAGGTCTCGTCGTCTCCGGCCACGACCTGGGAGCCTTTCTTAAGGTCCCTGCAGGAAAAAGTCGATGCCGTAGCTGCGGGTCTTGAAGATGGCGTCAATCACAAAGCACTGTGGCTTGTCTGGCTTCACGAAGAACCAAGATGAATTGCTCAGGAAGGATGAGGTGACATCATCCTGTTCCGCAACCACTGCGAATCCCATCTGCTCAGCCAGATGCAACTCGGAGGTGTCTTCATCGCCAGGACATGGGGCAGGGCACGCAAAAGTCCTATTCACAGCAAGCGTGGCACGTAGGGCTCCGAGTTGCCGCTCCTGCTGCTGACAACGCTTCCTTGTATGTGGCATTCTCAACAAGCAGGCTTTGAATCTGCTGCACCTTTGCAGACTCCTCCATCTCTGCTTTTTCTAGAGACTGCTTCAGTTGCTCGCAGCGATCTTGGTAAATCACTTTCTCGAGCAGAGGATGCAGGTCTGCCCCGTTCGCCAGCTGCTCCTTGAACTCACGACTTTCATCTTGCACTCTTCGGAGCTCATTCTGGCTCTCTGCCAAGGCTGCCTGTTGCCAAGTCACCTGTGAGTCGCTTGATGCGCTCCTCTCGCTGCCCATCTTCTGCCACTGCCACCAACTTCAGCCGTGCTGCGAGCTGGTGTAATTCCAGAAGCTCAGCCGCATTGCCGGATGCTGCTTTCTCTATCAAGCTAAGGCGGGCAAAGGAGAGGCTGCAACTCCTGAAGTGAGGTCAGGTTGCCACACGCCACAGCTTCCGCCGCAGCCAAACGATGCACGAGCTCGGCGCAATATTCTTTGCAATAAGTCTTACCCCCCCCGAATCTCACTTCGAATCTCGGCCACGACCAGGCGACCGGCAAGGATCGTGCAAGCAGCCAGGCCACGCTGTCACCACCATGGTGTGTCCGACAAGCCCCTACTGCACTCCTTTGCACAGCGGCGGTGCAGCAAAGCAAGCAGCTGCTCATCTCTGGTAGTGCCGTAGAGCTGCAGTTCGTCGATCTCGCAATTCTGGTTTTCCCACCGCTTCGCCTCGAGCGGTCGGAGTGCCCACATCTCCTCAAGACGTGCCGCCACCGCTTCCTGAGCCAGTTGCACCCAATGGGTGCGGTCGTACCAAAACAAGCCGAAGAATGCGTCGACCACGGTCTGCAGAGACCAACAGCCAGGGATGTTCGTCAGCTTGTACATGGGTACTCCGTCATGGTGCATGGAAATTGCTGCAGCCGGCTGCTGCAAAGTTCTGCCTCTTGTCTAGAAGCTCACTGCTATGGCCTGGATCGCAATGAACAAGGGAACATCAGAAAACAAGATTACCAAGAGCCGATCAGGAAAATCTTGCAACATGCGACAGTCGAATATGCAGCAAGTTGGTGGTGAGTCTGTGTGGGGGCGTATTCCCATCTGATCCACCAACCTAATTTGATCAATGCAGACACGACGTAAGTCTAAGCTGGAGATCAGGACAACCCTCAGCCTTGGCCGGAGCTCCGACATGCACATGTGCAGGCGCAACAACTTAACATGGGCCAAAGAGGCATAAAGAAGCCCACAGGCAAACCTTGAACACTTGCCCTACACAGACCAGGCGACCACATGCGACCAAGAAACATAAACCCAACCTTCTGAGCTCCCGAATCTAGCTTCCCCGTCCAGGCGGCTAAGGGGGTGCGGCCTCCCGTGCGGCTGTAGCCCGACAGAGAGTGCCGAGGAGTTTGCTCCGAGCCGAGATTACGTCCGAGGTTTGGGGTTTGGTAGGGCTTGCGGTCTCCAGGGCGCGAACCCGCTTCTAGTTTGGAGACTCCTTGTCCTTAGGCGGGATTTGCAAACAGCTTCCAGCAACACGGACAATGTTGCGGAGAGTTACCTTTTTCTCAATCGCTTTCCGCAGCAAGGCTCTGTGAAAGTATACCCATGCGAACCCCTCTGCGCACCGAAGCATGGCCTTAAGTCTGAGCATCTAATGGGCAGTAGCCTGGTGTCCAAGGCGACAGGGCACTTGATGACGCTTGTAATTGTACGCAGATTTGAATGAGACAAGCGAGAACCCACAGACCCGACCTGCACATGGAACATTCAAGTTGGGCCGCGGCCCGCATACTGTGTGAACCCCTCTGTGCCCGGATTATGTTGAAAGCCTTGTGCTTCCTTCTATATATGGGCCACTGCTCAGTAAGGACTGAAGCGGTCCTTGCGGATTGCCGATGGTTTAGCTTCAAATTTCAGGGAGGTTTGTCTGGGAATGGTGATTGCTGAAGATAGAATCAGTGAGCCACAACTAAAGCTCCTGGACTCTTTAGCTCACTTATTCGAGACAAGAACTTACTTAGTCCTGGTGCACGTCTGTGTGCTTCCACTGCTTGGGGAGGAGGGGGGGTAAGCTCAGAAGATCCAGACAAACCAACGTATTTTGGTTGCAACAGCGCTTGACTCTTAGCAGCAAACATCATGGACTGTGACAAGCTCGAATTTCATCACATCTACCGAACAATCATCTGAGTTGTGCTTGTTTATCTGTTGATGCAGGTTCCCTCACAACAAACGAGGATAAACGCAAAAAAAGTCCCAAAGCAAAATAGCTATACAATTTCCGGCCCCTTCTCTTTTTGGTGGTGCTGTTGGTGGTGGTGGTGCTGGTGCTGGTGCTGGTGGTGGTGCTGGTGGTGGTGCTGGTGGTGGTGCTGGTGGTGGTGCTGGTGGTGGTGCTGGTGGTGGTGCTGGGGTAACGGGGGGGGACTAAAACTTGAAGTTGAAAGCCGCGACCGTGCAGGTCTCGACGCCAATAACCCCGTCTGCCAGCAAAGGTCATACTCATGAAGATGATCTTCCCAAGTAGGCGACTTTCACCAATTCAACGAGCATACAAGCAGACCACAATAATTCTGCATGCCAGAACCGGCAAAGGCAGTCCAACACAGGCAATCAATCCAAAAGCCTCAAACAAGAACGCCCCGAACCCCACACCCACTATGAGAGTTGTAGCTCGAAATGCCTCGAAGATTTCTTCTTCCAACATTAGGGTTCTAAGCCTCGGGCTGTACCCTTTGCTGCTGCGGCCCTTGGTTGCACCAGCTGTGGCATTGTGGGACATCGAGGAGGCTCGGAAACTAAGCGCTGTCACCCTCTGTCTACATCCATCTCATGCACTGGCTATTGCGTGCTCCTCCTCATAATGTCATAGGGTCATCCCTGAAGCAGGGTCATCATTGTGAATCCAACAGGTTTGTATGGCAAAGGTTCCTCGCGGCTCGGGCACAAGACGGGGCTCGGATTGTGAACTCTGGGTTCAGGTCTAGTTTTATTTAGTCTGCTCGGTCCGGGTCACACTGCGCTTTGTGCTGCCGCATACCAGCCCAAGGTCGCTGCATACCTCGGCTTCGGCTTTGTTGACAGCTTAGATGAGTGACGGCTCAATTTGGGTTCTCTGGGAATTTCTCACGGGGCCCGTGGGGTTGTCTTGAGGCATACTGTAGATTGGTGGAAGGGCTCACGGGGCCGCCTCGGTGACAACTCATCAAGGCTTGGAGTTGAGGGTCGAGGTCTTGATGGCAAAGCCCAGTGTTCACAGTGCGAAGCATCCTCTGCCGAAGAGTTCGAGGCAAGATTTCAGTGCGGAGTGCGCAGCAATTGCAACATAGAGGTCACGACCGCACAGCTCAACTTGAGACATGTAGACATCTAGAAGCCGCCACGATAATGTGAGAATGCACCCAAATTCTAGAAGATCAACTTGGCCATCCTCAGCAAATTTAACTGAAGATGCGCAGTGGCTTCACACGAGGCACGGCTTTTTGTATCCGCAGACTCAGCCAACCCTGGACCCCAGAATCCCTCGAAAGCCGAGACCTGAAGGTCTTGCCTGTCGACCTCCCAAAAAAGGTTCCCGCAATGCTGAGGCCAGTTGGCCAGTTCAAGTCCTCTTGGGTGAGCGCCGTACCTGATCGGTGTGACACTCTTTAAACTGAGAACCTCAGGGCCTCTTTGAGATTGTTTAAGCGATATGGGACGGTCCTTCAGCAACGCATGGGGCTTTAGCAGAAGCAGCGCATTGCTCACGCCGACTTCGGAATCGGCCATAATTAAGACATTCTTCAGGTACACGGGACGGGTGCCGACAGCAGTGGCAAGACTGCAGTGGCAAACCAAAGGTGTGTTGTCAGGCACGACACAGGACAATTCTCTCATGCTGAGTTGTACGGTCATGTTCTCCGATGTGATGTCGCAACTCCGGGATCCCTGACCAGCACAACCTGCTACACCCCCGAACTCAGAACCCCAGTCCAGCAGGTTAGCCTACTGCTCGCGGCAAGCATCCCCATCAGGGATCTTGCAAGAGTTGAGGATACAAGTTGAACGTCCTGTTTCGACTAAGTTGACGTCTGGCCCAATGCCATGCAGACGACGCATGCATGGAGCAACCGCGACATGTCCAACGGCAAAGCTAGAGCATCCAATCTGACGCACTCACGATGACCCCTATACACCAAAACTTCCCTTTCTACCCATTGCATCACTGAACAATTTTTGAGCACATTCCCTCGAAAGACTTGTTGACTCCCAGGCTTTGCATGTCTACTCCAAAAGGATGTTCCGGACTCAGTGCTGTCAGCGGACCTGGTGCCACTGTGGCCGGAATGACGGCCGGCTGCGCGGCTCGGATTCCTCGCTCCTGTCGGCCAGGAGCTGGCGCTGGCGTTTTGACCAGACCCCTACAAGGTTTCCAGTGGCTCTTTGGTGATCCGGTATGTGGCTGAAGTCTCTGAGCACCTTCAAAGTTGAGAGGCCTGACAAGAGGCACATCGTAGAGTCGTAGCCTGCTGAAGCAAAGCCGCCCATATAGACCCCACCGAAGGAACCCAAAACCCAAAAGCCTAAACCTGCCGCATGCTGCCACCCTAAACCCAAATCCGGGAATGCCTGCGTCGGGCGCGAGCTCGCCTTCGCGGCCTCCTGGGCTGTGGATGGAAAGACCTGTGCAGCAGGGCGGGAGGGGATCTCTGAAGTGTTATGGGGATGTGGCGATGTTTCGGGCCGAGGGCGTTTGTTGAGCTTGGTGGCTCGAGTGATCCAGGCTTCGGCAGTTGCCCGTCTGTTCAGTTCGAGACTCTGCAGACGAGCAACCCCAAAAAACAGGCTCTCATGTTTCAAGAAAGTCGAAGATCTTTGAAGGGCTTGTCAGGTGCATGGGATTGCTTGGCAGCGAGCTTGTGCGGGTTCACGCGGTGGGGATGGAGGAAACTTCGTCGGCCAACTCTACAGGCAACCTCCCGGTCCAACGCAACCCAAGTCTTGATCTCCGAGTTCTCGCTGCATGACTGCCATACAGACACAACCTCTGCAAGCCTTTCAGCACGTGGTCATACCAAACAAAGCCTTCCGAGTGCCAGTTGATGTTTGCCATGGCCTCGATGTAACGCGTCCCAATCATCTGACGATCCTGCGGTTGCGCATTCCATGGCGCCCAAATGGGTCCCTGAACCTTCAAGTCCGCAGATATCTCAGCGCACAATGCACGCTAGTGTCAACGAATTAGGGTCTCTGAAGATGTAAACACACACGCGCAGATATATTTACATGTGAAAGAGATAACGTGTCTAAAAACGTTCGCAGCCAGCACAATGTATACATGTTTAAATAATTGTATACGATTTACATGTATATGTACATATACATGCACATACACATATACAATGGCATACATATGTATTTGCACGGTACTTGTTTACACTGCAAGCATGACGTATCCTAACTGCCCTGATGCCCGAAACTCTGAGAGGTTCAGGACTCCTTGCCAGCGCGCGCTTGGGCAGCGATTTCCTGGACAAATGAGCCAACCATGCGTTGTAGGGCATGTCTCTCTGAACCCTCACAAATTCTGAGAAAACTTGGAGAACCTGCCCAAAGATGTGCATAAATAGAAAGATACACATAAGCATAAGCAGTAACATCGACAACATGCAGTAGTGTACAGGGTGCGTAGGCGAGGGGTTTCGACGGTCAAGTCTGGCTTTCTCTGAGTGCGAAACCAAGAAGCTGCCCTACGGGTATGTAAACTGCAGAAATGTTTTGGTTGCCTCGACAGCGAATCGTGGCATGGATCAGCAATGAGGCTGGACACGTCCCTGACCCCAGATCCCTGCAACCCAGACTCTTTCTGTTGATTCTGCCTCCTGAAATACGCATGTCACTTATCCGAATGGACAGCCCTTCCTTCCTCCCCTGCACTCACTGCACAACCCCCAACCCCCCCCCCCCACCCCTCCCGGGGCCTCTGTGGCGAACTGGACCCAGGCCTCCCCGGAAGGCCGCCCCGTTGCACCTGGCAGCGACATTCAGTCGAACTAAGTGAGGTGTGCCACGCATGCGGTGTCACTTTTGTTCATACCATACAGCTCGAAGCACAGGCACGGCTGGGCGAGCTCTGTTTCTTTTTGCACAAATTGCTCACAGTTGGCCTGAGCGACTCTCCAAAGAAGCGGCGTTCACAAAGTTCACTTTTGCTTCGAAGCTCAACTTTCCTGTGATGTGCGGGTACAGCACACCTGCACCGCCAAGTGTGTCAAAGGGATGTATCTCACCCATCACAGTGCCGTTCTTCGTAAAGCTTGCAAGCCAGCGTCCGCAACTGAAAAGGAGCTCACAACCGATAATGTCTCCTGGGCCGAAAGGTTCACTGAAGTCAGAAAAGGCTCCACAGACACAAATTTTGCCAGTGCCGCCATACGCGACATTTGGGAACCCCTCTCCACGATCTTTTCCCAAGTCAAGGGAACCGTGCGCAGTTGACCATCCAATGCGCACGAGTCCCTGTTTCACAGTTACTTCGAAGCGAGAGCCTGACCTGCATGTTGCTGGAAAGGGGTGAAAGCGCACTCCAGTCCACTCATACCTGTGCGGCCGTGAAGGCCCCAGCACATGCCACTCGTGTGCGCGGTGGAGGTGGACTTTCTGGACAACCAGCTCATGGTCGTGTTCTAGCCCGTCTTGGCTCTTCTGCACAGGAAGCCCAGCAAAATCAGCTTCGCTGGCCCATGGCGGACGCTCATCCATCTCAACTGCCAGATCCTTGCATCTTCTCTCGAAGATGCAGGGTGTCTCCTGTAGATGCCTGCGAATATTCCCTCGTGCATCAACTCTTCTGAGGTACCGCGGGATTTGCTCGAGCTCGTTCCTCAACATTAAGGGGGCCGCAAGCAGGTCTGACGGCTGCATGGCTGGAATGAGCAATACGCTGTGCCGCCAAGACTCTGACACGACTTCTTTCAAGCTCTGTATCAAAGTTATTCGTTCCTCCTTCATCTCATGTCCCAGGACATTGCGAGCGTATTGTCTGAATCCTTCCACATCGAGAGCTGGGGCATCTCTGCCGTCCGCAAAGCGGCGGTCCGACTTGAGGTCCCGCTTGTCAAAAATCGGAAAGGCCTGGTCGTCCCATGCATTGGCCCCAAAAGCTGCCTGGGCCAAGCACCTGAGCAGAGGCTCGTAGGTGGCAGGGCGCATGGTCGTCGTGAGGGCCAAGCGAACTTGAGGCAGCCCTGAGACCTCTCGGAGGAAGTCTGCGGCGCCGGGCCTGAGGTAGAAAGGCTCCCGGCGTCCGTCGTAGCCATCCTCTTGCAGATCTTTCAGGCGTGCGGGAGACCGATGCAACAGGACGCAGGACAGCTCCACAAGAACCCACAGTTCAGGATCTGAATGAGGGGATAATGCTTCCATTGCTATCCCATCTCCCGCATGTACTGGGTCGCCTTGTTGCGTTGTCGAGCTACCTTCCAAAGAGGGGCCGCCTTGCTCGCAACTGCGGAGGTCTGAGTCAGTGAAGGCATCTTGTGGCTGCGGCCGACGCTGGCAGTACTGGCACGCTCGATTTGCAAGACATGCCTCGCAGAGCATGTAGCATTCTTGTCCACGAGTTTCACCCGGCCCTCTGCAAGCTGGACAGCAGAACATCTTCCATGCATCCCGGTTGCAGTAGAAGCAGGCCTCCCGTTCATTGGCGGTGCCTTCCGAGAACAAAGACATCTGCCCGCTCACTTGCGCGCTCGGCACTGCAAGCCCAGCTGCAGAACAACGCCTGTTGCACGAGCTACGAACGCCAGAGCCCAAAGTGAAACCTGCAACACCCATTGCACCACCCGTAGACCCAGGACCCAAACTGTTACTGGGTTACCACTACTCCACGCCGCAAATGGACAAACATCCAAGAAGCGGGTCTGGATGCTGGTTGCACCTACACGCCTCCTTCATCAGCGAAGCACAGGGTTACCTTGCAACAAGGAGACCGGGCCTTCGACGCCCATGATCACCTGTGCAGAGCCCACCTGGCTGAGGGTCAAAGATTTTGGCGTTGTTGTGTTGGGCGTAAGATGGTGTAGGGCTTCGGAGGTGATCTTCAGGGGTTGAAGCTTCAAGGTGCCTGGCCATGCCTTGGCTCTGGGGATCATCAGGCTTTAGTGTTCGGGTTCTGTAACGAGTTAACAATTGAAGCCCCAAGACCTAGGGCCCACGCCCCATAGTCCGCAAAGAACTCCGCGACGTCAGCCTGTGTGGCGCTGAACGGCAGCCTGCACGAGATCTGATGATCAGGATCTTCGCGGGTTTATGGTTGGGCATGAAGCGGCAATGATCTGGAGATTCATACTAATCACAATGAGGATACCGCAAGATACCTCTCCCCTCCTTCATGTCAACACATAGATACCTATCAACCCCATCATCTCCACCCACTGCCCTACTGTGCAGGTACTTAAGTAAGCGCGACGAACGCACGGCCATCGAAAAAGAAACCACTAATGGGAACCAAGGACAGTCTCGTCAACAGCTGTAAAGATCACTGCAAAAGGGCTTGCCCGGTACAAACACGACTGGCTCTCAAAAGGGCCGAGAACGGAAAACTGCCCGGTCTGTCCCTTATCCAGTGCACATGCGTGGGCGGGCCCGCGCAGTCGAAGGTATGACGAGCCCGGGAAGTCTGCAGAGCGGAGGGCGCAAATCCATGTGAGTCCAACAGCCGGGTTCGGTTGCAGACTTAGGTGTTTCATTCAGGGTAAGGGGTAAAGGGTGGCAAAGGTTTTACGGTTGACGCGGCGCCATGTTGAACTTCCTACAGCAGGTCAGGAAGACCGCTCGATGCCGAGTACTCAAGCATTTGATCAGTTCCTTACAGGTCTGCCTTCCCAATCGTCACCGTTTCTCGAACCAACCCAGCTGAGTAGCACTGTTCTCGAGTTCAAGGCAAGGGAGGCACGAGACGCCAAACGGGCATCAACTTAAATGAAGCACTTCCTACTATTGTCTGTCACTGCGCCATATTCCGATGTTGCCCTTTCCCAGCTGCTAACTTCAGATATCGAACTAAATAAATATAAACACTGTGACTGGTACGTTTGACAGTAGGGGCTACTGTAGTCTGGTCTTCAAGGACGTTACGCTGCCGGTTGACTGGTTCAGTCGTCAAGGACTCTGTGCTGCTCTGACTATGGATTTGACAAGCTCTGTGACCACGGCTTGCAAGCGGCTGGGATTGCGATGCACCTGTGTGCGATGGTTAGGTTTAGGACCTCGTCTTGCCGACTGCCTGTTCCCGAGGAAATTGAGAAATCCCTCAACCGCTGGCTTCCCCAAACAAACACAAGGCCTGGCAAGGTCAAGGTCGCGCCAACGCTCGGGGTATTCCGGGTGCTGGCAGAAGCTGCCTTGTTAGAGGGAACAGGCACAAGCAACATCGAAACGAGCGAAGGCAGACAAATTCACTGATACTAAGGTTTGCATGACCCATACTTCACTTCGGCAGAAGCTTCCGAGCCTTCTTTCTCGAAGGAACCAGAGTTTTCGTGAACCCCCCAAACCTCAAACGCCAACGGGACAAAACTCATCCTCAAGCCTACGCCACAACCTCCCCCAGTATTCCACAGCATTCCGCACAATCAGAAGCCCCCTGCGACTGATCAGAAGAATATGAAGAATCCTAAAATGCCAAAGCCCTAAACATCCCTAAGCTGTGCACAAGCACCGAACACCTGCCAGCTGAGATCTGCACTTCGAACGTGCTGCCTCTGGCTGAATCGCTGGCCCATTGGTAGACATACACCATTCTTCTACAGCCCCAGCTCAGCACCAATTTTGGCGGCTTCTTTGAACTGTTGGAGTTTGGGCGGGGATCTTTCTTTTTCGTGCTCAGCAGCGCCGAGCGTCTCCTTCAAAATGCTGAGGGTGTGCTTGGGACTCGGGACAATGAGACAGCCTTTGCCGTCAGCACCTTGACATCGTTGCTAAAGTTAGAAGACCCTAAGACTCCTAAGACCAGTCTCCCAAACCTGACCAGAACCCAAGACTGCCCAATTTGAAGCTACTATGCAGCACGTATCAGCACGTTGCAATGCGGCCAGAGTGGCTAAAGATCTCGATGTAGCGGCCGCCAATCCGGTGCCGATCCTTCTGGCGCCTTTGCTAGGACTAGAGTCTAGAGTCATAGCTTCGGGACTTCAGGTTGGCAGTTCCCAGATTGCCGTCTGCACATCTTGCAACTCCGAGGGCCGGGGCATGCAGCACGCCCTCCCTAGCATGCCAAACGCCAACCTGACGTGACTCAACGTACGTAGCCTGTTAATCCACGGCCAACATTTCTTTTCCAGGTCCCAACCTCACCACCTTCCTTGCAAAGTACAAGCCGATGCACGAACCGGGGTGCAGGGTTGAGGGTTTAGGGCAATTTTGGGCTTAGGATTTGCTGTCGCACCGCGTGCCGTGCGCTACTAGGGCCTGGTTGCGGAAGGCTCTTTTGTTTCTTGCAAGGCATGCGCCCAGAAACACGAACCTGCAGTTTAGGGAGGTTGCCTTCAGTCCAGAACTGGTCCCGAGGATAACAGGTGCAGGTATAGCTGGATGCGCAAGCCACGGCTCGATTTTACGAATTCAGACTCCAGGCTTCGGTATTTTGCTCACAACGAAGAGAAGCTCTGCCCCCAACTTGGCTTCATCTGCACTTGGCACATCGAGGAACTGGACCCACGCCTCACAGGTCAACGTGTCACTCACAAGACATTTTTCACAAGACTGACATGTTCTTTGTGTGACAGCTTTAACTACGACCATGAGCATCCCGCCTTCAACAGAACACAACCTCTCCTTGGTCTGTAAAGTTGATGCCGTAGCCCTCTGAAGATCTCTTAAGTGCGACATTAGACCAGTCGGCTCCCTCCTTGTACTGTCCACCTCGACATCCCTGAATCCTTTCCGAAGACTACAGGTTTAGCATTGGGGGGTCCCTTTAAGTGCCCTACGGCGAAGGTGCCGCGCCTCACCACTGGGCCGGCCCTGCGCGTTCACGCCCAAAGCAATGTTCTCCTGTAGGCAGAGCTTGACTTTGTGTGCAGATGGTGTAATATTTGATGTATACCACGCACGTGAAGAGTGATGTGTCATGCAGCAGTGCGCCTAGGATTCCTTCAGGGTATGGTGTGCAAGTACCGGAGGAATTTGGATGTTGAGACGCTGTAGTCTCCCAAAGGCTCTTGGATCTTACCACGGCGGCATCGAGAGATCTCCAGTTCTGCTACCGCACGTTTCCCCGCCTACATAGGCTGTCAACTAGCTCCGTACTAGGGCAAACACAGACACGCGGACATCTACGACGAGCTTGCACCGATCCGCTGTGAGAACCGGCTTTCTGACTGATTCCACACTGGGGAGTCAATGGAGTGCCCGCCTCCATAATGCCAAACTCCGCGAAAAATTCGGAAACCTGGCACGAACTTAAAGGCGAGTTCAGCATACATCAAACCGGCACACCCTGAGCATGGTAGATGCTTCGGTATGGAAGTTCAGGTTGTTTACAGAAACCTTGGGCTTGCACATCAGACATACCAAATAGTTTCATCTAAAGGGGCCGCTGCGTGGGGAAAGCAGTGCACAAACAAACACGTGCCTCCAGTCACAAGGGCAATTGAGACCGAGGCCTTTATGGGAAACCCTGGCCTTTCAACTTTCAGGCACTGATCGTTGAGAGCATTGCATTTTGCAGGATTCTTTGGACCTCTTTTGCAGAAACAGCGAGCGCCTCAGGACAGCTGCTTTGGGGGGGGGGGGGGGGGAAGACTTAAGCGTCTTTTCTGAAGCTTGCACTGCTCAAACCCTCTGGTTGCTTCCGAACTAGCGTAATTGCATAACCTCCAATGACCAGATCCTGCAAGGCGTCTCCACCAGGCTGCACGATCTGCGGGCCTCCTTGGCGCCGGCGCTGAAAGGCAAGCCTCTGAAGGTCGAGGACTACGACTACTGGAAAAGCCAGTGCAGAACGTTTAGGATTGACGCGAGTGCTGTGCGCTTCATTCAGGGTTTCGGGATTACAGGGTCCGTCAAGTTGCATGTTCGTGAAGTGTACAGCGTACACTCTACACAGGAAGCTGGACGCTAGCCGCAGCCCGAAGAGTCTTTTGGTTTTGGGCTCTAGGATGGCTTCACCCGCAATACCTGCAACCGTACCAGAGTTTGAGCTTCCCGGCCGCGCAGGCGGAGGTAACCAGCACCCGGGAAGTCCTTCGGCTGCTTCCGGGTTTAGTAGGTTTAGTATTTACATAGGTAATCGAATGGTAACCGACATGCATTCCTGAGACGGCAAGTCTCTTGTTGACAGTGAGTTCAAAACGTGAATGGTTCCCATGGGGTCAGGAGCCTTTAGCTGCTCAAGGCTTCAGGATGCTTCAGGACCTCTTAGGTTGTAGGGGCGTTGCAATGCATTGTGTGGTGTTTTGGTTCGGTTCGTCCGCAGCCTTACGTCCAGAAGGCGTCAGTTCGTCTTTTCACTGAGGCTGCGAGGGCTCGTCAGACTCGCTAGCCCGACTGAGACCTGGGGAAACGACTGTGAGACCCCGGCAAGCCATGCTCCAATGCATCAGCGAACGGCAAAAAGAGGGTCTACAGTCTACAGCAAAGGAGCAACCCTTCATGACCTTTGGTTCCGGATTGAATCTTATTACGGAGCTGATCTTCTGGCCTAGTACGAGCCCACAGTTGTGGACCCTCTGATACACATGAGGTCTTCCCGACCGGCTCCTGAAAAGCCATTGTCCGATCAGCTCGAGGCCACAGCGCGTGTCTGGAGTTTGCTTGTGCCGCACGTGTACCACGAGGTTCTCCGTGATATGCATGTCTGTAGCGAGCAGTGTCGACTGGTTTGCCTTGCACGCAGCCTTCGCACATGCATGATATGTCATGCCAGCGTCTCCTGCTGTCTGATTGACATGAGCGGATATTGAATTTGAGCTGATACACCCATGCGGACAAGCCTCACGATACGCAGCAAGGATGCAAAGACATGCAAGAGCTCTACGACCTTTTGAGTGCTCCTTAGCATGCAAACCTCGCAGGCACACACACACACAAAATGCCAGAAACCCTAGAGTCTTGGTGGGGTAGAAAGGGATAAAAGCCCTGAAGTCGCATCCCTTGGCGACAAAGCTTGCTGCAACATCATGTCTATGTCAACGATCGTTGACAACGTTCGGCTTTGCTTGTGCAACTTGCGACGCATGTCGCTTTGGCAAGGGGCTACTTCCCTGAGGATCATGGGATTCTGCTCAACTGCACACTGGACATACGCAAAACGAAGCCGCCACAAGCTACTTGCAACTGAACGGGCAAGTTGAGAATGCAAGGCAGCGAACAAAACAACCTGAAGGCCCACAACGTCTCACAAACACAAGTCCCAAGGAGGTGCCCACATATTGGGGGGGGGGGGGGGGGGTGTTCGTTTTAGGCAGGTGGTCTGGGGCAAGGACCTCAAGTTGATGTTTAGGTGTTGCTAAAGATATGAGGAATCAGCAAATAGACACTGCTAAGGACTGCTCTTCGGGTCGTGAGTTAGGACAGATGGGCACCGAACTGGAGCATCTCCCCCAGCTCGGCACCAGCTGTAGCCCTCGAAGCTACTGCTTTTTGGCTACCGCCACCGCAATGCCCAAACGTCAGTTCGCAGGCCCTGAGTCGTGCTGGAGGTTTGGGTGCTTCACAGGGTGTCATGGCAAGGTTTCGAGAAAACAAACGGACTGGATGCTCAGAACAGTATCAACAGATCCTTCTACTGGCACGAAATGGCACGAACATGCGGCACCCGGGTTTAAGCAAGGACCGCAAGTGCTTCAAAGATGTCAGAAGCTGTGACATGCTGTAGACTAGTGACTCCTGCTATGCGCCACAAAGACACATGCAACCTGAACAACACACACACACAACAGGAGCATGGCCGGTCGAACTTCCTGGGAGGGACCCCTCTACGAGGGAGCGGAAAATCCCGCCTCGACCCTGTGAAGGACCGATCCTTTCAGGGCATCCAGGACGTAGACATCCTGGAAGTCTCGCGGTCGCGTCTTTCGCGTCATTGAATGGAAATGGCTGAATTCTATTCATACACCCGAATAGAAAAACCCGTTAAACACCATGGCAAACCTTAAAAGTGAGAGGGTCAGGGTCAGGGTTTGCGGTCTGCTTTTCAGGAGTCTTGCTGGATCCATCAAACGGTGCAGGACCTTGCCGGTGCAGAGTCCAGGGTGTGGCGGGGGGGGCCCAGAGGCAGGGATCTGAAAGTGTCGGGTGTTGGTCGTTTCAAGCAAGGTCGCTTCAGCTTTGTGCAGATTTCCACGGAGGGAGGTGGCCCAACCCACTTCACACGGGTGCCTCATCCTCACAGCTTAGGCTAGAGGCTCGTGGATACCCATCAGGGATATCTGGAGAACTGCAGCTATGGGGTTTCGACAACTACAACTGCAATCTACAACCAACAACCCCATGCTCCTGCAACAAACATAAAGGACCCTATCCGCCCATGAAACCCTGCAGCGCCCAGGAGCTCTACAGGCCTTCTCCGTTGACACGCTGAGCAGCCACTGCGGCGCCATCACGCCATAGCGTAAGATGCCCACCTCAAGAGAATCTAGTTGGGCAAGGTTTTGAGTTTGGGCTTCAGGGGCTGGCTTCCGTGCACAGGAAGGTGAACTGTAAGGGGGTGAAGTTTTATCAAGCCTCCCTCTTTCGCCTGCGAGCTGCCCAGACTGCCCAGACTCTTTCATCTCGTCTTTAGAAGATACGGGCTGAAGCTGGTAGCTTGACACTCGTTAACTGTATGTATTAAAACCCTTCCAGTCACGTTGAATGTTGAACGATGCTGAATGCCAAGGCTCAAGCTTAAAACTCTTTGGCTAGCGCACTTGACATATCAGGCTTCCGTAAAGCAACTACAAAGTCTGAAAGCTTTGCGCAACCGGCTGCGCAGATTAATGCTTTAGGTTCGGGATTCAGAGCTTCTGCACTCTAATGCGGCTGGTGGTAAGGGTTGCTGGCCTCAAGAAGCACAATCCCCTCACAATCAGCAGCGGGGAGCTGCAAAGCCACTGCAGTTCAGCAGAAGTGAGGGGGCGTTCCAGGCTTGAGGTGTTTTGCTTGGGTATCCTCAGGCAAGATGCCATGGCCGGCTTGATGTGCAGCAGCTGCAGACCTTGTCAGAAAAAATGCTGAACAGATGTGGTGGGAGCTTCTGCGGGCTGGAAGTGGCCAAAGTACCAACTAGCTTCTTGCGCTTAGGACCCCCGTCGATCCTAGTTCGGATTTGCTTTCGCATGCGTTTCGGAGAGTTTTCATGCTTAAGCCTGGAGAATCGTGCCGACGCCTTAATCCGATAGTGAGACTACTCGAGTGCGGGGTGGTCAATTACATTGGAGAGGGCCTCAGCCTGTAGTACCACAGTAAGTCAAACGAGTGCGATTCATCCCTGCAGCTACTCATCGTACAACTCCGAAGAACTTTTGTCTTGGAACTCGATACCTCTTTTTTAAAGCAGTCTGTTTCCATTTTCAGTCTGAAGTGCATCCCGGCGCCCGAGAGACCGAACCTGCGCACCTCCGTTCTCTCTCGATTTTTTGTGAGCAGCTGTGGGATGGTGTAGCAGAGAAGGCCTTGAAACCCTCTAGCTGCTAGCTGGTGTGGCGACCTTCAGGCGCATGATGTTTTCGTGCGTTGTCGCCTTTTTTTGTTTGTTGTTGCGTTTGTCGGTTGTGGATGTGGGGGTGATGATGCCAAGCCTGTTCATGCAGACTCGACGCATGCTCTTGTGCGGGTTTGGGTTGGAGGGGAGATCTGGGGGTAATATTATCCATGCTACCGCTGCATACACAACAACAAACTAAACCGAAACCTCAACAATTCGGAGCCTCGGAACACTGCAAGCCAAAAGTAGTGCGCGCTTCAGGCCGAAGGGTCACACGGTCTATGACCGTGTCCAAGCCCTTGCTGCGGCAGATGCGTACGTGGATGTTCCGACGGTGTTACCGGCACATATCGGCACCATGTGCAGGTGGCAAACTGCGCCGATGTGCAACTTTGAAGCAGATGCTTTGGGTACAGCCCCGGCCCTATAACAGTCACCGCAAACATCCGCAAACCAAAGCACAAAAAGCACAACACAAATTCGGTGGGTATGTGCAAAAAGAGAAACATAAATGCTGTGTGCTGAGGGCCTGATTGGTTGTTGTAAATCCGAAACTGAATTTCCCGTGGAATTATTTGGAGGGCACTGTACTTTAAAGGAGACAAAAGCGCCCAGATACCCCCGAAGCGTTAACAAAGATGGCTTAGTTTCAGGGCCTTTTTCAAGACCCTTGACGGTCACAGAGATCGTGCTCTTGCCAAAGAAATGTGCACATGCCGAATGCTTACATGACGTTAAACCTTTGGAATTCCGGCTGTTCCAAGTGCAACAGTTAGAAATCACGGCGCATTCAGGACAGGATTTGTGCGTTAAAGACCGAAGGCCACCGAAAGTGAGCCCGGCCTGAGATGGGCAGTGCGCGGCGGCTCGGCGCCTCACGTAAACGAGGGTGGGGATGTGTCTCTCTCGCTCTCTCTCTCCCTCTGTGTGTGTGTGTGGGGGGGGGATTTGAGGCTTGGGTTGGTCTTTCGGTCCAGCGGCTCTCCAATTGAACATGACATGTAAGACCCACACATTGTGTGGGTCTTGGGGCTGATCCTCAAACATGAACCTTCATTTCCTCTAAACTGCAAAACAAATCCTCGCCACCAGGTCGAGAGTCCGTCAGTTCCTGCGGATCGAACTGTAGCAGGATTTCTTCGTGTTGAACTTGTGCCAGTTTGTTCGGGCCCTCTCGAAAAGACCTAACGACGCAGTGAAGGTGCGAAACTGAGCAGCACCTTCAAGCATCTGGATTCCAGGTCATGAAGCTGTGCCCCACTGGTGCCGATTCCCAGAAGGCTAGACGCATGTCATACAACTGTTCCCGTCACCTGACCCAAGAAGAAAACAAACCTATACTGGTAAATCCGATCAGGCCTACCCTCTTGCTTCCCTCACATTTGGCGACATTTGGCGGCTTGGGGCCTGTGACCAGCGGCCATTGTTGGGTGAGGCCAGCTCACCATTGAGGTTCAAGGACCAGACCTCTGCTTTGGATGCTTTTCGGGCTTGAACCTTTGAGGTGCTCAGGCCTGACAACTACATAGGAAATACAAGTCGAATCCGAGGTTGAAAACACAGCTCATCCTTTACCGAACTGCACTAAGCCACCAAACCTAACACTAAGCCTTTATTAGCAGACGTGACAGAATGGATGCTCCGGGTTCAACGTAGCCTGAAAGGTCTCTGAGGGTACGCCGGGGATTGCTTGACGCGTGCTTGAATCTGAGCATACAGGGCATTAGGACCTGGCTTCGAATTGCGCGAGGAGCGGGCTGGGAGATTTGGTGGATGTGGTGTTGGGATTGGGCTTTTGGGCTTTTTGGTTTAAGCTGGAACATAACACGCAAATTTCTGAACCCATGGACCCTGGCCAGCACACCTACAAATTCTTGCACCTCCTTCGACAAACCCGTGTACAAGCCCTGGTGCACTCTTGCAAATCCAGAACCCTGCAAGCAAGCCTGCCGCTGTCAAGAAATGCAGGCACATGGCCGTTATGATGCCGGAGCCGTCGCCCGCCGCTAAGAGAAGAGTCGTGGGTGGCTCCTCGGCCATGGTAACTTTTGGCAAGCACGTCATTGTGCCATATTAGATAAACGTTCCCATAAGGTTATCCACGTTCGCCCTTCCGTCGGAATAAACCCAAAGGCTGTTGAAACCTAAGCCCAAGCGCCAAGCTGCTAAGCCGAACCCTTGGCCATGTGAGTGCTTGGTCCTGTGTGCAGTAGACCCTGCAACAGAATCAGAATAACCCGTACAACAGTCAAGATTCGATATTGCAGCGCCTCAGCCAGGTTTCTGCCAGGGGGTACGCTTCAGAGGGAGATACAACTTGAACTGGGACATTGATGGTGAATCAAAAAATCCTCTCCGCTAAACCCCGCTCTATATACTAGCCCTCTGGAGAAGGGGCGAGGCGCGGAAGTCTGCGCCAAGTCCTTGGCTTGGGGTCTGAGTAATGATGGATGACGGACCTGTCCGGGGTTCGGACACAAACCAGTACAAAGCGATGAAGAATGCCGGCATCTTACACACAGGAACATACTACACTTTTAATGAGAAGGCGACGAGAAGCTTGAAGGAATTCAACTGAAACTGAAGTATTGCCAAAACCGACCTGCGAAACCCAGGACTCCTGAACGACCAACATAGTTGAGAACACGATCGTACCGATTCCGGTCTCAGTCTGAACACACGACAACAGCAAGCTTCATGAATCCGCCATTGTGCACATGCCTTGGAAGCCCTTACGCTCAGGTCAACCGGGCGTATAAAGCTGTCAGAAGCCAAAGAAACGCATGTGACGAACGGACGTGGGTCAACCCCGATGGGCTATGTTCAAATCTACCCAAACAATTCCTTTCAAACCGTGTGCCAAATTCTGTGCATTGGCCATTTACAAGGACGGGCCCAAGTGAGCGGAAAGCTTCTCGGCCTATCACATGCCGCAAGGTGTTACGCGTTGCGTGGACCGCAAAACTAAACATTCGGGGGAGCGCCCTCAAATGGACACAGCAAAACTCAGTGAAGGCAAACTCCTACCAAAGCTCACTGAAGGCAAACTCCTACATTCCTGAATGTTCAAGCCATGTACCATGGCAACGCAATCCTTGCAAACCCTCTGCCCTCTGAACACGCTCTTCAATCTAAATCTTAACATCCTGAAGTCAGCCGGGTGTCAAGCCTGGAGATAATTGGCGAGCTGGCGCGTGGGATCTTCCAAATGACCCTGGCGCCCGACTCATCCACCATCCAGCCTGTGACACGACACCATGGCCCTGAACGCCCGCACACCTCCAGAAGCTCCGAAAAGCTCAGCCGCCGAATCAGCCTAATTTACTAAACTGCTGCAGGGATTCGAAGAAGAACCAAATCCAAAACCCAACCATGTTGCCCTGACTTGTGGAGCACCTTCACCGGGATTTTTAGGCTTGAGGCGGCGAGAACAACGTCCGGCCGATTTTTCGCTCTTGACCCCAAAGTGCGGGAAGGCCTTGAAGTCCTCCTCTCTGCATAGCGAGCACGAGCAGATACCTGCACCGAACTTCGTTGCAGAACGGACGCATCGGACAGTTTGAAACATGGTACGGGCAAAATCCTGCCACTGACAGTCACTGACCACTGCCACGACGGGGTCGAAACCCTGAACAGGCTGTGCCTAGGTGCTTCGCCAGTCAGGTGCAAGATGCATGCAGCGCTGACCTGCAAATGTTGGCTGGGCCCCGGTAGAGCTCCCGGGTGTCCAAGCATAAGGGTTTGGGGGTTTATGGCCGATGGTCTTTTCGAGTCTTGTCCATGCAGTTGGCCAGAGGCAAACCGTTGCACATTGGTACGAAGACACACATCTGCAAGGCTTTGCGCCTACCAAGTCCGTACTGTCTGCAAGCATTCGTTAGAGAGACATTCCTTCGATGCATGGCGGCTGCACTGACGCAAAAGATGCTTGCAGATGTCCGTGAAAGTAGGAGCCTACCCACCGGTGTGTCCTAAGGTCCTAGAATGCCGGGTGCTAAGGCTAGAACTATCCTGGATCACGTGGCCTGGGAGGCGCCCCCGTGCAAGTGAAAGAGCTCCTGCCAACTGGTTTGTGGAGTCCGTCTGAGGTCCGAAGACATACCCGCGAGTGCTCGGATGGATGTACCACACGTAAGCCCAGGCACCGGCATCGCCTGCGATCTACGCAGATGACTTTTTGAGGAAGCCGCAGTGCAGATCACCCCAATGAACATCCGTGGCATGTGTTTATTGGGATAGGGTTAAAGGCTTGTAATCTGGCACTGCCGAACATCCATTTACAGGCCCAGGGCTATCAAGGCAAGAGATCTCTGCTTCAAGCGCGGCTGCGGTTACGTTTTTCCGAGAGAAACCGCGTTGCCGTAGGTTCCATGCTTCCATTCGATCCAGAAGCTCATGCAATCAGGCATGGCCGCCGAAGACCCTTGAAGGAAACTCAATGGAAATAGGCTGAAAGATCTCACGGATTTCCCGCAGCTACTTCGTGGCTGCATCAGATCACAAGTTTCTCGTATGCCAAAAGCATTGCCCGCATCCGTGCTTGGCATATGCTCGCGTGTCAAGATGTAGAAGCTGGGCAGCACCCACAGATGACGATTTCAAACCGGAGCTTTTCCTCGGATATCACGTGACTGTCCAGAGTCTTCATGTGGTCTTCATGTGGTCTTCGACCGTTGTTGCACTTCTCATGCAGCCAACCGGAAATGGTAGGCTTGAGATCTCACATGTGTTTGAAGGGACGATCGGGAACGTGGTCCGGGGATTGACGGCGGCGTCTTCCTGACATGCCTGCGAGAGAGAGCGTTGCAGTACTGCCGTAGCATCGTGATATTCGTCTCCAGGCCACGCTGAACACCGCACTACAACTATCAGGGCGAAGGCCATGCCCCAACAACCCCCTCCCCCCCCCCTCCCCCCCAGCCCCCAGGTCCGAGCAGCCCGCAAGCCTAAGCCCGTGAAGTACCCCCATGTGGCTCCTTTGGCTCATTCTGCGCGGGAAACAAGTAGAACAGCATGACGTTGTCCTTCATCTTCGGTTCCGCTTCACTGCGAGGATGAGGCTTTGTGATTTTAGGGGTGTGGAGTTTGGGGCTTGTGTTTCAGACGGTTTCGGGCCTAGGCTGCAAGGAACAGCTGATGGTACATAGCGCCTGCTGTCTGTGTGACACTTGTTCTCCGCAGGGCAGGAAACTCTACCAAGCTCCATCCACAGTCCAAAGATGCACTGTTATACTGGTGCCCGCGAGAAGATGGACAACTCTGTTGGGTGTTTGCGTGGTCGTGGCTTAAACGACATCAACTGCCTTAACTCCTATGCCCTTAAACATGAGCATCCTCGCTCGCTGCAAGAAGAAGTCGGCTGTCGTCCTCATAGCAGATTGCAAAGAATGGGGACGTTCTTTAGATTCGACAACTAGGGCCCGGCTGGGAGTTAGGACGCGATTACCTCTACTGAAGCCGAAGAAACAACAATGCCGTGACAAATTGGTTGCTTGATGCGATGCAGGGTGGCTAGACTAGGCGCAGTCATCACAGTCGTGAGTTACATAAGGAAAGATCTCGAAGGTGATGCCGCGCAATGCTAAACGGCTTGCCTAGTTCACCTTCAGTATGAATGGGTACTTCCTGCGACCCAAGCGCTGTACCAGCCCCTGCTTCTGGTTCCAGCAAGAAAAAGGCAAGTGTCACAGGGAGAAGACACTTGAATGTGGCCCTCCATGGTTCAAACGTCTGCCAGTAACACGGTGTTGCAACCCTCCTGATAAGCTTGTCAATGACACTGTTGGAGGCTCTGTCTATCACTCGTGCAACGGCCAGCTGCCGCATGTGATGCTACTCAGTTTGGGCCATTTGACAAAACACTATGCCCTGCCAAGTCTCACTAAGAACAGTCAGGATCACGCTTTCCCATTCGTGGTGCGAAACCTGAAGCAGGTCAGGTGCTGTCCACAGTACCACAATCTCGGATAGCACAGCATGAATCCACCTCAGCTCCCAATGCTGCTATGGCTACCGCCGCCGGAGCGAGCAACCAAGCAACCCTCACTCAGCCGGCTCTTTGCAGTTCCAAATGCCCGCATCTGAACTGCCTCCCGTCCTCCAAAACAACGTATAAGACTGCGCACATATGACATGTGTTTACACAATTCCAATACGTTGAGTGCTCTAAACATTTGCAAAACACCGCTTGGACAGCAGCCTGCACCAAGCTTCATGCTCTGCAAGGTCCAGCAATGGCTGCTGTGGACGACGGTGAAATTGCTGGGTACTGTTCACTACATACGGGCTTGGTTTTCAACCCTTCCAGCGTAAGTCTACCTAAACTTCGTCGAGAAGACTACGACGATTGAACTCTAGAACCATCAGAGGAAGCTGGGCGCTTGGCTTTTGCTGTAGAAGTCAGAGCCCACCCAGGCTTGCCCTGTTCCTGCCACGACCCAAGCAGTGAGTGAGAACACAGAGAACACACCCAGTGCGCGGAGCTTGGAATCGAAGTTGAAGGTCTTGGGGTTGGGGCGTCGGCCCTCCTTTACGAACCAAGTGTGGCGGCTTTAAGAAATGGTGGCGCGTGGGTTTGCAGATTCGGCGTACAATCGACTTTGACAATACTTGCTCCCTACAGACTACACGGTGATCGCACGCGTGTTGGGTGAGGCTCCGCACTGGGGGTGAGGGGCAAACAGGGGCCAGGATTCTCATGAGGCAGGAGTTGGGATTGACAAGTAGCTTCATTAAATAGGCGCCGCAAGATGCCCCTAAACCTCGACTCCGCAGCTTTGAACCGCATCCCAATAAATGCTGAAACCCTGAAGTCCGAGCCTAACATAGCATCGAGCCTGATAGCGCCACACAGACGCCAGTCCCGCGCGGTGGCCTACTGCCAAGGCGCCTGCCCACAGTTGCGGGGCTTGGGGAGTGCCCAAGATGCATAGATGAACACCATGACCTTAAGGCCTCCAAAACAGAGCCAACAACCGAGTGGAGCCCCCACTAGCTCCCATCCTTGGCTGGACAACCGGCTGAGGGCCGTGGCGCGAGGCAGCGAGCCATCCTCAGGGGTGTGAGACTTCAGGATCCGAGGCCGCCTCGTGGGGGCTTGGGTAGAGGTTGTGGAGCACAAGTTGTGGCAGAAGCTACCACGTCCATGCGACGAAGAGCACACAGGCTGCGTCCTCCAGCCAGCCCAGATCCTGCAAATTTCTGGGGACTCTATGGACCCATATGCAGGGTTTCCGAATTAGGGGTACCTTATTGTTAGGAGCCCTATACTACTTGGGGATCAAATTTAAAAATTGGGGGTACCCTATTTTCGTAGGCCCTCAGAATCATATGGGACCTGAAGAGGCCAGGGAGTCCAAGCAAGTTTATGCAACTGTAAGGGGGACCCAATTTTGCAACAGACCCACTCCCTCAGGAAGAGATAGAACGCCGTGTGGTTTGAGCTTGGGAGCTTGGGATTCAGGGTGATAGGGTAGTTTGTAGACTCTTAGGTTGAGGGACGTTCGAGGGGGGTGTAATCCGGGTTTGCTGGACATCCACCACCAAGCCCCTGCCGTCCGCCGCCTCCATCCCTTGTGCATCCCCGACAAGCGATAACCGCGTGCCACGAATACCTGGAGCAATTTGCTCTCGGGGTGTTGCGATGTTGCTTTTAGTGCGTCTATGTGCCTCTGTAGTATAGCAGTTAAAGCCTTTCAACCGCAAGCGTCTTGAACCGACGGCCTCCTGCAACTGTGAATCCTACTGACCCTCGGTTCTACATCCTATACCACAGGAAGCCACCGTATACACGTGGGCCCTTCATCCTGCGTCAACCCGTCGCTCGTACCGTCCCCCCAAACCGCGGTCCCCAGCCTTGATGAACTCTGGTGAACACACGTGAACACAAATCCCCTCAAAAGCCAGTCTTTTGAAGCCTAGATCCATAAAACCTTGAACCTCAGGGCAGCCGAGCTACGCCCTTGAAGGCCCCTCAAGACGACCAGGAGCTCTGTCTGATTTGGTGTAACAGCCATTCTGGTTTCAGGCTTGTAGGGTTTTAGGCTTACAATTCTTTCTCAATGCCTTCGTCTTCCAGTACTTGTCAGGACTTGAATACTGATTGCAGGCCGATGAGTCGATCAGCAACCTATTTGATAATCGTTGGTCAAAATACCTGTTCCCAAACCAGCTCGATATTTCCCGATGAACACAGAAGAAGCCAAAGAACTTGAGAAGAAGGAAGGACCTTTAGATCAACCCCCACATGGAGGTCAGATGCTTCCAGATGTGCCATGTGGCGAACATCAGATAATGAGATCCCAACCTTGGGCTGTGTGGTGGCATCTACACTGCACCACGCTATTAAACCATTCTGCTGACCCGAAGTTTGAACAACAACAAGCCAAACCCTATTCCCTGGGGTGGGCAATCAGACGGCCCTGCGCGGTCCCAGCTGCGTCGGTCATCCGCAAAGGCGAGATGGCCCCTTCCTTGGAAAATTAAACATGGGCTCTAGGCCTGTGAAATTCTGTGAACAATGACTCGGGGCATAGGGCTTGGCGATCTTTCGGGGGATTTTTCAGGTTCAGGATCTATCTGTACGGTGTGAAAGGTGCTTGAGCATCATGCGGAAGGAGCCTTGCAGCACTTGCCTGGGTACAGGCAAACATTGCGCCTGCAAGTGCAGTTCCAGTCGCGCGCAGAGGGAATACGCCAATTTGACACGGGTGTGGAGAAAACCTGCGCCGCACCAAAGCCGTGAGCGGGAATCGTGAAGCTGGAAAGACAAATGTGCGGCTGGGGCAGATCACGACGCGGAACGCTACATCGACAAGAGCGCAGCAAATCCCAGGAACATGAACATGAAATGGCAGTCGCCATCAGCACAGGCAAAATGTAGGTAAATCTATAAGGATCCTATTCTGACGAGGCGCGCTTTCTCTTCCAGCGATTCTGGCCATGGACTTTATAGCCTATAAACTCTGAAAGCCTGCGTGGCCTAAACCCTAGGCCCTAAACGAAAACTCAAGCCGCAAACCCTACACCCGAAACTTGCGAGCATATGCTGACGAAATTGCTATGATCCTCAGCTTTTGATCCTACAACGCCCTGGAAAACTGCACTGCAGCTGAGGATCAGCTAGCCGTTCCGCACTTCGCTGCAAGTCTCTAGACCGCCGCTCCGGAAGCCTCCGACACGGTGGAGAGGTGGAGAGAGGTTGTGGAAGCAGGTCTACATGTGTCTACATGTGCTGCAGCCCAGGACTCAGAGACCCGAAGCCTCAACACAGCTTTCAAGTAGCCTGACTTTGCACGCGCATCATGCTTTTTTTCTCATAGGATGCTCGGATCAACAGGCCAGCTTCCAAGTGTAGTAGACCAGCAAGGGGTCGGTCCTGGTCGGTCCGCAATGGCTACTAGTAAAATGGTGGCGCCTGCACAAGCAAGGTGGCGCACCACAATTTCTGGGTGACCTCACATGGGTACCCGATTCGTCCCCAAGAGGATCAGGCTAAAGGTGGCGCCTGCACAAGAAAGGGTGGCGCACCACCTCTAGGTTGACCTTATGGGTTATACATCATTAGGATCAGCGGGCCCACTTCCAGGTGTAGGCCAGCAAGGGGTCGGTCCTGAGGGAGTGACAATGGCTCCAGGTGGCGCACCACCTTTGGGTAACTCCATGGGTACCCGATTCGCCCCAATAGCTGAAGTGGCTGCAGCTATGGTGTGACTCGCACTGCCTCCTGCATTCGTCGAGGCTTCCTTTCCAATTTGAGAAGAGAGCGTGGTTCACGTTGCACACGCCCTCTCCCACATACTCGAATCTCCGCGACCCGGCTGCCACTCCGTCCTCTTCCACGACCATGACATTGCCACCGTGATGGATCACCGAATACTCCGAGGCCTCGAATTTGTGGCATCCCCAAGACTGCATGTCATGCCCGGCGTGGAGGCCCTCGATGGCGTCGTCGCTCTGATCCACCCACAGGGTGTGGTCACAGAAGTTCACGTTGCACTGCCAGCACGTGTTCCTGGGTGCCAAGACACATGTCAACATGTACGTCAACCCGGTACCCAACCATGGACACTGGTATAAGAAAAGTCACGACAAACAATCTCAATCCCCAATCACAATAGGCACATAGTGACATAGCGCGCTTAAACATCTCACCCTGCCCTGTCTTGACAAAGTTGTGAACAACCTCGACCAAGCTTCACGCTGTGCATCACCGCTGTCTCTGGGGGCTTCACCTCGTCCTCCACGCCGTCCTCCGGCATCTGCGCGACCTGTGCCAGGGCCGGCCAAACACTTCGTACTCTGATCACTCTTGACCCCTGACTGGAGAGGCTCTCTTCACCCTTCGATGCGTTCATGTTCTTTTTTGCCAAGTTTCTACTTTGTGTCTGATGAACTCCGCTTAAACATCCCACAAGGTCCCCCCCAGAAGCCCTTTCTGTGACGGCCGCCGGCCTTGATGTTGGTGCAATCCTCAGCGTCGAAGGCCGCCACAATGTCGGCGACGCCCGTGGGGTCCACGGCGGCCGCCAGTTCTGCCAGCTCATCCGCCTGGAAAGCAAGGAAACCGGGAAACATTGACACTCACTGTGGGAATAACCTGCCGATTCCACAGTTTAGGTCAAGGCACCACGTCGGGATAGTGCTCCTGGATCGCAGTGGCGGCCAACTCCTCCGCGCCGCCATCCAAGATAGCCTGGAAGCCACAAGGGCCGCGTCTCAGGCGAGGGAAGCTGCAACCTTCTACGTGACTGACGGGGTTTGTGTGTGTGTGTCTCTGTGTGTGTGTGTGTGTGCGTGTGTGCGTGTGTGCGCGTGTGCGCGTGTGCGCGTGTGCGCGTGTGCGCGTGTGCGCGTGTGCGTGCGTGTGTGCGTGTGTGCGTGTGCGTGCGCGTGCGCGTGTGCGTGTGCGTGTGCGTGTGCGTG